ATGGATATGTGGCTCCGAGATTGCTTTCTCGCAGGGAGTCGAGGAAGGATCTTTGGGCGTTATTACTACAATATGTTTGTTAATTATAAACTGCTATTATGTACTCATCTGAATGCTTGAAGATGCTAGTGTTAGATAGGCTAGACTTTCCCCCTCTCTTCTGGCATTCTATAGTTCAGTCCATAGATACAACCAATTCCTTTGATAACGATTCATACTTAGTGTAGTTATGATGTAAGTCTTGCGAGTACTTTGGATGAGTACTCACGGTTGCTTCGCTACCTCTTTTCCCCTATACCCGGTTGCTGTGATCAGATGGTGGAGCCCAAGAGCCAGATGCCACCCCTGTCGACTACTACTACTACCCGAAGGGTGCCTACTACTACGTGGAGACCGCCGATGACCATGAGTAGTTAGGAGGTCCCAGGCAGGAGGCCTTGCCTCTTCGATCGTTGATGTTTGTGCTAGCCTTCTTAAGGCAAAACTTGTTGAACTTATGTCTGTACTCAGATATTGTTGCTTCCGCTGACTCTCTTGTGTTTTTAGCTTTTATATTCGAGCCCTCGAGGCCCCTGGCTTGTAATATAAAGCTTGTATTATTTTATTTGTGTCTAGAGTTGTGTTGTGATATCTTCCTGTGAGTCCCTGATCTTGATAGTACACATTGCGTGTATGATTAGTGTAAGGTCAAATCGGGAGCGTCACATAATGATAATTATAACAATTCGGAAGTAATGATCTTTCACCAATGAAACACAAGGCATCAACTACTAGGATAGCAATTGTCAACAGCAAGTGCAACCGGTGATCAAACTACAAATGATTGGTACAAACTTTGGTGCGATGGGAATGGAGATGATGGTGCTGATGATGGATATGGTGAAGATGGCTTGGATGAAGATGATCCACTTGATGTGCTGAAGTTGGTGATGATGATGGCTTCAAATTACCCCCGCCAGAGGGGCAGATCGGGCCAAAAACAGCCATCTAGAAAAAGAACTAGGTTTCCACCTCGCAACGGCGGCGGAAAAAATCAATAGAAAATGGATATCATCAAAACTCCTGGGGGTGGACCTAAAAAGGTTTGGGAGGTTATCAGGGGGCGCATGGCCCTAGGTGCCACCTCTAGGCGCCCTGGAGCAGGCCCCTAGCCCCCCAGGGCCCACCCGACTACCTCCTTCTCGCCCTTGGCCTCAGTTGGTCCAAATCTCTAAGAACTACTTTTATTTTACTATTTTGGGGATCTAGGAGTGCACTTTATGCACAAAGGTCCAATTTCCATCCTGACAACATCTCCGAGAATTAAATCTTCATTTGTCTGCATTTTAAGATAAACCATAATTAAATTAATGCAAAGACGGTTGAAAAGTCATGAAAGTAGAATATTTATCCTCTAAAATTGTGATGCAAAATGAACGCATCACATACCAAATTCTTGGAGGTTGCTTGTTAGCTTTGCTAAAAGTGACATGGGCTCATTGCCATCTTCATCTTCTTCATCCAACCACCATATGTCCATTTCCTCTTCTAAAGATGGAAATTAGTTCTCTTGACCACTTGAAGATGGTCCTGAGTGGGACCTGGTTGTTCACACCGACCTCTTTTCCTTCTTGAGAGCAAGCTTGGGCTCTGGTTGCTCTAGTCCCTCAGCTACATCATCTTCTTCTTCTTCTGGAATATCATAAAATATATGCAGGCCATGTGTCATCCTCACAATGTGCATTCTTGAGGGCCTTCTCTCTCTTCCTCTTAATGTGAGCTATTGTTTATGAAAGCTCAGCTTCCTTTGCTTATTATCCACCTGTTGCATTGTACTCTTCTTCTTCTGCATAATCTTCCTCTGAATCATTAGCTTATTTCTATGAGTTGTCCTCATTAGCAACATAGTCATCATCATCAACTGAATCCATTCCTCTTACTCTTCAACACCATTCTCTTCCTCTTCACCAACATTCTCGTTCTCTTCATCAACATGATGCTCCTCTTCCTCATCAAACTGAACATCTGCATATTTCGCACTTATTTGAGTGTTAATTATGTGCTCGGGTTGCACTGCTACATTTGGCTCTAACAATAGTTCTGCATACTCTGCCGATTAAGAATGTTCCACTCATCAACTAGAGGAGGCATTGATCTCACCGGCAGAAATTTAACACTCTGTTGTGTGCCAAGCACATTGGATGATCCAACATAATCATCAAATGTTTTGTGCGAAACAGCTACATCATTAATAACAGACACAGCAGGGAGTCCACATTATTTCAGAATCATCTGCAACTTCAGTGTGACATACTAACATGGGCCTTGCTCAGTCTCTATTGTTTTCTTAATGAGAGAAATAATTAGTGGTCGTTTTCTCTTGCCTTTCTTAGCAGTCAAATACAGAATTTGTGTGGGCTCACACTTCATAATCATTGCGTCCACCTTCATAATGTTGTCCAACAGAGCCAATCCTTCTAACCCTATCACTTCCCCTCTCACGTAATACAGAGAATCGGACGGTCCATAACCATTTCGCACCATTATCGACTTCAAAGTCATATATGTGACATCTTTCTAGGCCATCTTGGTGTGTATGGATTTTTTTGCCATCAAATTGGATGTAAATTTCCAAATATGTTCTAACCTACAGTACAAACATAAACTAAATCTAGGCAGATTTCAAATCCAGCAGTAGTGCATTCAAATCCAGTAACACTAATTTTCAAATAATTTAAATCTAGTAGCCCTAGCCTTCATACCAGTGTGAACAGAAAGGGAAGAGATGTACCAAGTTTCCAGCGATGATTGGAGCCAATCATCGATGCCCAATCGAGCCTATGTTGTTGCCGCACAAGCCTTGTGCATTCTGCATGGCAATGACGATGTCTTCTCCTCCACATATTTAGAATCTAGGCCGCAGCCGCCGTCGAGGCCGGGACCAAATAGTCCTATCTTTCTGAACTGAGGGCGCTTGCGGGAGTCGCCACCGCCGACGACGGATCCAACATTGTCGCCGCTGGGGGCATAGCTGCATTCACCTCCTGATGTCACCCTAGAAATGCTCGAGCGCGGGAAAGGGGAAGAAGTTAAGGGTGAGAAGGAGGGGCGGTTGTGCGTGACCTAAAAAGTCAATGACCTGACTTCATCTAATGATGCACGCCACATCAGCCTGATAGGTGGGCCATACATGCAGATTCGCTGTTTTCGTAAACTCAAACAATCATCAGTGCTATTTGTTACTCATTAGATGAAAAATGGTGGTTCGCTTTGAGGTGTGGAGAAAGTGGTACCAATCAGTTAGCATAGCCCAATATGTAGTGGTTTTGGTAATCCACTCGGCGTATTTATTCTAACATACTCCCTCTGTTCCATAATGTAGCATATGTAGATTTTTAAAAAGTCAAACTTCATAAATTTTGACTAAGTTTATAAAGAAAAACATTTATATTTAGAATGTCAAACACATATCATTAGATTCATCATAAGATGAGTTGCATACTTCATATAATTGGTATTGTAAGGCCCCGTTCGGATCTTCTCCTGCTCCTAGCTTCCTCGGCTCCGCGCTGGAGCCAGCCCGAACGGCACGGCTCCGAGAAGACCGCTTCGCGGAGCGAAGTCCCCTCGTAGTGCAAAAAAGAGAAGCTGGTCGAGCCCTGCTCTAAAAAATCGAAGGAGCTGGAGTTGGAGATTATTACACGGTACGCCGCCGCCAAGTGACCAGGGGGCAGCGTACCGGTTCGCTCGACCTGTTCTTTCTCCTCGATGCGTTGCTATTCCATCAAAACCTGGCATGTCTTTCCTTCGAACGGGCCTAAAGCAAGTTTATTGGGCTATCAGCCCAACTAACCAACTGGAAGTGGAAGCTGGCCTCCCGAATGGTTTCTCGTGAGCCAGGTTTTGTACGAGAAGTAGGATTTGGTAGGAGGAGCGGAAGCTGGCTATCTTCTATATCTAAATAGCTAGCCCCCACTAATTTATTTCTCTCAACATGTGAGCATGACACCTCATCAAGCAACATGCATTAGAAAAGATCCATTTCAACATCCAATGAGTCATAAGAAAAGATTCACTTCAACATGCAAACATGCATGATATATTTAATAAATATTTTACAAAAGTACAATAATCAAACACAAATAACAATATGTATTTTTAGTTTTAGCTCACATATTATTTCTTCGAATATTCTTATTTCCATAAAATTATTAATAGCTTAGAAATGTATTACAAAATATTCCCGCAACAACGTGCGGGGCATTGTCTAGTTTGGAGAAGTTGGACAACATCCGAACGGGGTGTAAATATAAATAGTTTTTTTTCTATAAATTTGATCAAAATTTGTAAGATTTGATATTCAAAAAATCTACATGCACTACATTATTATAAAACAAAGAGAGTATATATCTAGACATTTATCTTCATGACGGCTCACCTTATCGAGGGGTACGATAAAAGAGCTTTGATGTGGAGCCCGAATGGATCCATGGCAGAAGTTTCGGTAGCATTTCTAGAAGCTGAAGAAGCATGTGAGAAGTTTGGAAGTATCCAATATATGCTCTAGAAGAATCTTGGAGTCACCCTGACTTCCGAGTTAAGCTTTTTTTTTTTAATTCGAGTTAAGCTTTTGGCATGAAGAGCCCTTACCTCAGAACAACCATCCTGACTTGTGAGTTGTGACTTGCGAGTTAAGGTTTCCGTGAAAGATCCACCGCACATCTCCACAGATCGACAACGCCGCAGCATGCAAAGCTCTGACGTGGCCTGTTTGACACGCTAGCCGCCACATAGCCGAGCCGGGGCTCTGCACCAGCCACTGACTGTTGCTCCGTGGAGGTCGCGCCCTTATCCGGCCGTCCATCGCCGATAAAGCCGGGACGCGGGCGCCTGCCTAAAACAGCAACGTACTAAACGCCGCCGGCACGGCCCCACCGGTCCAGCTGAGTAGATCACCACCTGTGCATCGTTCATCGCTCACTCACGCACTTCCCCCGCGGCGCCGAGCGACCGGCGCGGAAATGGCGGAGGCGGAGGAGTGGGAGAGGCGGAAGAGGGGGAGGAGGAGGCAGCGGCGGGGCAGGAGGGAGAGCGACGGCAGCGACCCCGTGGAGGTGCTGGGGGAGGAGGTGATGGGGCTGGTGATGGAGCTCCTGGACGCGCGCAGCGCCGCACGATGCACGGCGGTCTCCCGCGCCTGGTTCGGGGTCGCCGCCGACAACCGCCTCTGGGCACCCAAGGTACATCCGATTCCCGCCCCGTCGGTCTCTCGCCTCGGCCCTCGCTCTTTGCCCTCCCTCGCCATCTGCTGCAGCCTGAATGGCATGCGTGATTCGTGGTTTGCGCGATGTGCCATGTGAGCTGCACCTGTTCGATGAATTTCAGGCATGGGGGTTTCAGACTTTGTGTGGTATACGACGGGAGTCCGCGACATGTGGCGTAGTAGTATGTGACAAACTTCATGTGGCGCTATAGTTTGAGCAAATATTTTTTTAATATGACGTTCACATGCTGCAAAAATAAATAGTACTATCATTTTTACAAAGGATGAACATGTTCCCTTTATCTCAGAAATAGTTGCTTGGAAGAAAAAAAAAGTCAGAAACAATATACATTTTGGGAGAAAAAAAAGCATATCTTAATTTTACTTCTGGATTCTCAGTGTGATGTTTTAGTTTTGTTTTTCTCCCTATTTTTCAGTTCTGGAAAGTACTTTCAAATTTCTTAGTTTTCAAACGAAGTTCAGCGTTCTTAGTGTTTTCTTTCTGCAGTATATATGGATAATGCAACTTATTCTTTCATGAGATGTTATTCATTTTAGTATTTGCTATATTGATCAAACACAAAAGCATTGCGTTTACATACGTTGGCAGAAAAAAAATTGTGTACAAGTCTAAGAGGACCAACGGTGCCAGATGGTTTGGTTCCTTGTGGTGGAATCCGCACATGCGGCTTCGAGTCTCAAGTCCTAGACTTGGTAAAGATGGCTGCATTTTCTTGGATTTATTCCTGTATTTTCAGCATGCTTGCGTCTGCGTCTACTGTGTTTCTAATAAAAACAATCCAACCCCCCACCCTACGGACGCAAGTATAGAACGCAAGAACGCAACACCCTAAGCAAACGGTAACCATGAAAGCAAGGTGGTTCATGGTCTCCATGGATTGATTGCAAAGTGGGAAGCACGGAGGCTGCTGCAGACCCCGCCTAGCAAGTTATTCAGTTGTCCAGCAGTGATCATGACATGCCAACCAACTGAAGAACTTCACCCAGGATCTCGAGGTAACCGCCCCCTCAAAGAAGATGCGGAAAATTTTGTATATCGGAATCCAATGTTTCTAAATTTTCTTGAATTTTTTCATGGCTACCGATGAAAATAAGGCCAATCAGGTCAACGCTAGGTAAATGCCTCATGTTCACGTCACCATGAATTTAAATGAAAATAACTTGATCAGACCCCTCCATTAGCATATGTAATTAACCGAGGCCCAACAAAGTTGATAAACATGAGTTTATTTTATTTTCTTTTAAATCAGAGGAAATTCCAAATTTAAACTGGGGAGACTTGATTGAACAGAGAGGTGTGAGGGAAAAACCTATGACAAAAAATACTCTTTTTATATAAGGCCATTCCAATGTTTCTTTTGCAGTGTGCTGAACTGATGGCCGGAAAGGCACATATTCCTCGTCTGACAATGATCCGTACTGCATCAAAGTTGTCTACCTATTCAATGGCCATCATGGATGGCAAGCGGGTGAGTTCCAGAAATATTTTCTCTTAGGGTTAAAAGAATGCAATAGATCAACAGCGAAATATAATTAATTGTTCTCATGTGCTAGCAGTACTATTACCACAATCACTCCAAAAGATAATAATGCCTATCACAATCTTCTGTTAAGGTTTTCTTATTTTAGTTTCCCCTCCACAATAATTCCAAATTTTTCCATATAATTTTCCTTCTTTTGCTCCATACAGTGTGTGTAAATTAATGTTGAACATTGGAACCTGGGGGCATTCTTTCTGGTTATCAGTTTTTTTTTATCTTCTGACATAGAGGAAACATGAGTATGTTCAATTCATCATTGTCCTCGAGACATATTATATTATCGTGACTTATTTTCTTGCGCAGAATCGGATCACAAAAGAGGATCTCTGTGATCATGCATGGGAATATCGTTTCACTATTGTAAGTTTTCTCAATTTGTCATCCTTTTGCATGTTTTGAAGTATGAATTTATACATGATTACAAATCTTAATGCTAGTGGCTGCTAAGCCTACCGCATAACTGACTTGCTAGTTTCGAGTTCAACTGGTTGTAGTCAACCATGCCGAGAGGAATGCTGGGATTATGAGAACTTTCTGCATCTCTCTAGTTTCTTCGGGTGTCTTAGCTTCCAACCGCACTGAGGAAGATTGAGGCATATATCTTCATGGTGGTAATTAAAGTTAAGTATATGAAATGTGGCAAAAATATATCATGGTGGTAACTGGATGCCCGAGGATTTGCTGGATGCAGTTATATGCAGTTTAAAATCCATAATAACTCCCAACATATTAGGTGCACTTTTCAAATGAAATATATGGAGTATGGTTGCTTGACTAATGGGGGAAAGTCATGATATATTTTTCTTTTACTATCAAAGGCAACACCAGAGTTGCTTGACTAATGGGGGAAAGTCATGATATATTTTTCTTTTACTATCACAGGCAGCACCAGAGTACTGGAGGAATCTCGATCCGTCCTGGAAGCGCACTGGTCCACCCATGCGACGATACTTCCACCATGATGGTTACCACAGTGCAGATCCTCATGACGCTGTCTGGGGTGGCCATGAGTGTGAGTACACGATCATAACAAGCTTTGTCGGTGATGGAAGAATCAGAGATCATTATGTGAGGATCAACCGGTGGCCACCGATGAAAGTGTCGAGAAAGGAAGATTGGAGCTGGGAGCTATCCAACCACCTCTACCGCTACAACAGCATCCCTGATGCTGAAAAGGAAGGATGTACAGGTCCGCTCTTCCCGGTTTGGTGAGTTCACTTCTATGGTAGCAGATCGGTCCGTCTGCGGTGTGATCCTGCAATCTTCTGGTCGTCGAAATCAAGCCTTGATCTTCCATCTCGTTGAATGTTGCAGCAGGAGACTTTGTTTTGCAGCAATTAATGAGCTATGAACTTTTGTGGATGTACTTAGTTCTTTTAGAGAGAATGGATAACTTAGCTAAGCTCAGGTGTGTGAGCTAACATGTATGGTAATACAGTAGTTGCAGCTAGCCTATGATGATACTATGTGTTCGTCTCGGTAGTTTGGTCTTTTGTCACGTAGTATGTGATCTGTAAAATACCCTGAACTACTAGAAATGGTATGGTGTGTGTAAACCTTCTTTGATGTGTACCTTATGTAATGAATGCTATGTGTGCTATGATATACAGTACATGCGATTGGTAGCTCAATGCTGAAGGTCCGTCAAAGGGACTCTCTGGCTAACAGTAGCCTCCTCCCGTCCCCGCGCCGCGTGCCACTCCGGCCGCAGCCGCCACCTCCTCGCCGCTGCGCCCGGCAGCGCCGCTCCAGCCCTCATGGGGCGCTCCAGCCGCAGCCGCTCGCGCTCCCCATCCTGTTTGGTGGACAGCACGGGTTGGGGACAGCCTGTGTCCGTGCCGTGCGTGGCCAGATCCGCCGGTCCGCCCGGGGCTTCGGTCCCCTAGCTGCTCCAGGCCGCCGCGTCAACGGCTGCCCTGCTTCTCCGCCGCGTTTGCTGCTCCGAGGCGAGCGCTCCCGCCCGGCCGCAGGGCCTTCCACGCCAGGTTCAACGGTCGTCTTAGTGCCTTCTCCCACCTCGCAACATTCCTCTTCGGGCGATGACGACGGATGGACGGCGGTTAGATCCCGTAAAGACAGGCGCGCGGGGAGATCCCCGCCGTTCCGTAGCGGTCGCCACCCCCCGCGTCGCCCTGGCCGGCGCCCCGCCTTCAATGCTGACCCGGGGTGCAGGGCCTTCTTAAACCGCTTCAAGAGCCTCTGCCTCCGGTGCCATAGCCCTCATCACCGCTGCATCGATAGTAGAGATCCCTTGCACTGCATCGAGTGCAAAACTGCCGGGCCATTTCGCCAAGGAGTGCGCCTCGATCCCTCGCAACCGGCGCGGCGGAGGCCCTGCCCCCGAGCGGTCGGGTCCTGCTGCTGGGAGGGGGGCCGTTAGGGAGCGGTTGCGCTTCCCCTCGTCTCCCGTCGCCATGACGCACGCGCACCACACCGACCCTCCCGCCGGCCGAGGTCGAGCCACAGCGTCCTCATCGAGTCCCCGGCCATGGAGCACCAGACCACCCTGCTGCGCCGCCACCTCGTAGTGCTCTATGCAGCTACCAAGAACCACGTGGCCAGTCCGATGTCAATGGGGGCGCCATCGACGCGCAGCTCCACACCCGTCCCCACCTACTGCAGGTGACCAGCCACGACCCAGAATATTTCCTGGTTCACTTCGAGTTCCCCGCGCATCACGACAAAGCGGTGCGCCTCAGCGCGCTTGATGAACCACATGTATAGGGGATTCGTTGTAGTCCTATCGATAAGTAAGAGTGTCGAATCCAACGAGGAACAGAAGAAAATGACAAGCGGTTTTTAGTAAGGTATTCTCTGCAAGCACTGAAATTATTGGTAACAGATAGTTTTGTGATAAGATAATTCGTAACGGGTAACAAGTATAACAAAGGTGCGGCAAGGTGGCCCAATTCTTTTTATAGCAAAGGAGAAGCCTGAACGGACTCTTATATAAAGCAAAGCGCTCGCGAGGACACATGTGAATTACTGTCAAGTTAGTTTTCATCATGCTCATATGATTCGTTTTCGTTACTTTTGATAATTTGATATGTGGGTGGACCGGTGCTTGGGTGCTGTCCTTACTTGGACAAGCCTCCCACTTATGATTAACCCCTCTCGCAAGTATCCGCAACTACGAAAGAAGAATTAAGATAAATCTAACCATAGCATGAAACATGTGGGTCCAAATCAGTCCTTTACAAAGCAACGCGTAAACTAGGGTTTAAGTGTTGGGGAACGTAGCGGAATTTTAAAATTTTCTACGCATCACCAAGATTAATCTATGGAGTCATCTAGCAACGAGGGAGAAAGGAGTGCATCTACATACCCTTGTAGATCGCGCGCGGAAGCGTTCAAGAGAACGGGGTTGATGGAGTCGTACTCGACGTGATCCAAATCACCGATGACCAAGTGCCGAACGGACGTCACCTCCGCGTTCAACACACGTACGGTTGGGAAGACGTCTCCAACTTGATCCAGCAAGGGGGAAGGAGAGGTTGATGAAGATCCAGCAGCACGACGGCGTGGTGGTGGAAGCAACGGTGATCTCGGCAGGGCTTCGCCAAGCGCAGGGAGACGGAGAAGTGTCACGGGAGGGAGAGGGAGAGGCCACGGGCTTGTGTGCGGCTGCCCTCCCCCCCACTATATATAGGGTGCCTAGGGGGGCGGCCAAGGGAGTGCCTTGCCCCCCAAGGCAAGGGTGGCGCCCCCACCCCTAGGGTTTCCAACCCTAGGCGTAGGGGGGGCCCAAGGGGGGCGCACCAGCCCACTAGGGGCTGGTTCCCCTCCCACTTTAGCCCATGGGGTCCTCCGAGATAGGTGGCCCCACCCGGTGGACCCCCGAAACCCTTCCGGTGGTCCCGGTACAATACTGATTACCCCTAAAACTTTCCTGATGGCCGAAACTTGACTTCCTATATATAAATCTTCACCTCCAGACCATTCCGGAACTCCTCGTGACGTCCGGGATCTCATCCAGGACTCCGAACAACTTTCGGGTTACCGTATGCTAATATCTCTACAACCCTAGCGTCACCGAACCTTAAGTGTGTAGACCCTACGGGTTCGGGAGACACGCAGACATGACCGAGACGCCTCTCCGGTCAATAACCAACAGCGGGATCTGGATACCCATGTTGGCTCCCACATGCTCGACGATGATCTCATCGGATGAACCACGATGTCGAGGATTCAATCAATCTGTATACAATTCCCTTTGTTAATCGGTACGTTACTTGCCCGAGACTCGATCGTCGGTATCCCAATACCTAGTTCGATCTCCTTACCGGCAAGTCACTTTACTCGTGCCGTAATGCATGATCCCGTGATCAACCACTTGGTCACATTGAGCTCATTATGATGATGCATTACCGAGTGGGCCCAGAGATACCTCTCCGTCATACAGAGTGACAAATCCCAGTCTCGATTCGTGCCAACCCAACAGACACTTTCGGAGATACCTATAATGTACCTTTATAGTCACCCAGTTACGTTGTGACGTTTGGCACACCCAAGGCACTCCTACGGTATCCGGGAGTTGCACAATCTCATGGTCTAAGGAAATGATACTTGACATTCAGAAAAGCTACAACGAACGAACTACACGATCTTTGAGCTAAGCTTAGGATTGGGTCTTGTCCATCACCTTATTCTCCTAATGATGTGATCCCGTTATCAATGATATCCAATGTCCATAGTCAGGAAACCATGACTATCCTTTGATCAACGAGCTAGTCAACTAGAGGCTCACTAGGGACGTGTTGTGGTCTATGTATTCACACATGTATTACGATTTTCGGATAACACAATTATAGCATGAACAATAGACAATTATCATGAACAAAGAAATATAATAATAACCATTTTATTATTGCCTCTAGGGCATATTTCCAACAGTCTCCCACTTGCACTAGAGTCAATAGTCTAGTTACATTGTGATGAATCGAACACCCATGCAGTTCTGGTGTTGATCATGTTTTGCTCTAGGGAGAGGTTTAGTCAACGGATCTGCCACATTCATGTCCGTATGTACTTTACAAATCTCTATGTCTCCATTTTGAACACTTTCACGAATGGAGTTGAAGCGATGCTTGATATGCCTGGTCTTCCTGTGAAACCTGGGCTCCTTTGCAAGGGCAATAGCTCCAGTGTTGTCACAGAAGAGAGTCATCGGGCCCGACGCATTGGGTATGACTCCTAGGTCGGTAATGAACTCCTTCACCCAGACTGCTTCTTGTGCTGCCTCCGAGGCTGCCATGTACTCCGCTTCACATGTAGATCCCGCCACAACGCTCTGCTTGCAACTGCACCAGCTTACTGCCCCACCATTCAAAATATACATGTATCCAGTTTGTGACTTAGAGTCATCCAGATCTGTGTCGAAGCTAGCATCGACGTAACCCTTTACGACGAGCTCTTCGTCACCTCCATAAACGAGAAACATATCCTTAGTCCTTTTCAGGTACTTCAGGATATTCTTGACCGCTGTCCAGTGTTCCATGCCGGGATTACTTTGGTACCTTCCTACCAAACTTACGGCAAGGTTTACATCAGGTCTGGTACACAGCATAGCATACATGATAGACCCTATGGCCGAGGCATAGGGGACGACACTCATCTTTTCTCTATCTTCTGTCGTGGTCGGGCATTGAGCCATGCTCAATCTCGTACCTTGCAATACAGGCAAGAACCCCTTCTTTGACTGATCCATTTTGAACTTCTTCAATATCTTGTCAAGGTACGTACTCTGTGAAAGAACAATGAGGCGTCTCGATCTATCTCTATAGATCTTGATGCCTAATATATAAGCAGCTTCTCCAAGGTCCTTCATTGAAAAACACTTGTTCAAGTAGGCCTTTATGCTTTCCAAGAATTCTATATCATTTCCCATCAACAGTATGTCATCCACATACAATATGAGAAATGCTACGGAGCTCCCACTCACTTTCTTGTAAACGCAGGCTTCTCCATAAGTCTGCGTAAACCCAAACGCTTTGATCATCTCATCAAAATGAATGTTCCAACTCCGAGATGCTTGCACCAGCCCATAGATTGAGCGTTGGAGCTTGCACACCTTGTCAGCATTCTTAGGATCGACAAAACCTTCTGGCTGCATCATATACAATTCTTCCTTAAGATAACCATTAAGGAATGCTGTTTTGACGTCCATTTGCCATATCTCATAATCATAGAATGCGGCAATTGCTAACATGATTCGGACGGACTTCAGCTTCGCTACAGGTGAGAAAGTCTCATCGTAGTCAACCCCTTGAACTTGTCGATAACCCTTAGCGACAAGCCGAGCTTTATAGATGGTCACATTACCATCCGCGTGTGTCTTCTTCTTAAAGATCCATTTATTTTCTATGGCTCGCCGTTCAACGGGCAAGTCAGTAAAAGTCCATATCTCGGATTTCATGGCTTCCAGCCATTTGTCGGAATCCGGGCCCGCCATCGCTTCTTCATAGTTCGAAGGTTCACCATTGTCTAACAACATGATTTCCAGGACAGGGTTGCCGTACCACTCTGGTGCGGAACATGTCCTTGTGGACCTATGAAGTTCAGTAGCAACTTGATCTGAAGTTTCATGATCATCATCATTAACTTCCTCTCTAGTCGGTGTAGGCACCTCAGGAACATTTTCTTGAGTTGCGCCACTTACCGGTTCAAGAGGTAATACTTCATCAAGTTCTACTTTCCTCCCACTTATTTCTTTTGAGAGAAACTCTTTCTCTAGAAAGGACCCATTCTTGGCAACAAAGATCTTGCCTTCGGATCTGAGGTAGAAGGTATACCCAATAGTTTCTTTAGGGTATCCTATGAAGACGCATTTTTCCGATTTGGGTTCGAGCTTTTCAGGTTGAAGTTTCTTGACATAAACATCACATCCCAAAACTTTTAGAAACGACAGCTTAGGTTTCTTTCCAAACCATAATTCATACGGTGTCGTCTCAACGGATTTCGACGGAGCCCTATTTAAAGTGAATGCGGCAGTCTCTAAAGCATAGCCCCAAAATGACAGCGGTAAATCTGTAAGAGACATCATAGATCGCACCATATCCAATAGAGTGCGATTACAACGTTCGGACACACCATTACGCTGAGGTGTTCCAGGCGGCGTGAGTTGTGAAACTATTCCACATTTTCTTAAGTGTGTGCCAAATTCGTGACTCAAGTATTCTCCCCCACGATCTGATCGCAAGAACTTGATTTTCTTGTCACGTTGATTCTCAACCTCACTCTGAAATTCCTTGAACTTTTCAAAGGTCTCAGACTTGTGTTTCATTAAGTAGACATACCCATATCTACTCAAGTCATCAGTGAGGGTGAGAACATAACGATAGCCACCGCGAGCCTCAACACTCATTGGACCACACACATCAGTATGTATGATTTCCAATAAGTTGGTTGCTCGCTCCATTGTTCCTGAGAACGGAGTCTTGGTCATTTTACCCATGAGACATGGTTCGCACGTGTCAAATGATTCGTAATCAAGAGACTCTAAAAGTCCATCTGCATGGAGCTTCTTCATGCGTTTGACACCTATGTGACCAAGGCGGCAGTGCCACAAGTATGTGGGACTATCATTATCAACCTTACATCTTTTGGTATTCACACTATGAATATGTGTAACATTACGCTCGAGATTCATTAAGAATAAACCATTCACCAACGGAGCATGACCATAAAACATATCTCTCGTATAAATAGAACAACAATTATTCTCG